GCAAGCTCACAGATATAGAATTTTCTTCAAACTCTTTCTTCTCCACTTTGTACAGTGACGATGCTGAATACCCAACGCTCAAGATCAAATGGAGACTTGAACAGAGACCTTTTAGATCGCTACGTGGCGAAGTCAGTGTGTGCCATTATTATATCTTGTGAAGAAAAACTTTTTAGGATACAAAGACATGCGATGTATATCGAGGAGAAACGTTGTTGAAGACTTACTACGTCAGAGCTCATATGTATCCAAGACAACAACGTCACAACAGAAACGCTGATCTTCGGGTGTTGTTCATGTATAAACTACTTGAGATCCTTCGATTAGGACCGAAAGTTCACTTTTACCGGAACAGGGGTCAGTCTGGATTCGGTTTGTATACTGCTAGCGAAGAAGGTGATTACGAATAGTCAGTGGTTTATAAATTACAAAATCATTTAAGTTCCGGGCTTCCAAAACCATTTAAATAGGGGCAGCTATGGATCTCTCACGCATTATAAAGTGAAATTATTCAGCATTTGCTTCTACTTAAGAGACGTAATGAACCGCCGAGAAAACTATGGCGTTGACATCAATGGACGGCCGCAAATTGTAAACTTTCGGGTATTTTCCTTGAACCTACTTTCTAAATCGTTATTATGTTCATAATTCAGGTTACTAGTAATGTTCACAGTGCAAAATTCCTTGCCGATAGATATTGTGGTAATTATCAAGAACAAGAAACCAAAATTGGAAAAGCCTGTTTCTCAGAGTGGAATCTGCTGAGCTGCATAGATATGGCTGATAAAGCAATTGAGAAGGAAAAAAAACTTTTCGAAGATCATTCCTTCACCTTCGAACCCGTGCGTGATTACGCTGAATACTTAACTAAGATCAAGATCAACGTTCGGTACTTCACAGCTCTTTTTGATAGATTGGAACCTCCATTGTCATTAGTTGCTTGTTGTCTCCGTTCAGTTGATCCTGATCAAATCAATTTTCCTTTGCGTCATTATCGTTTAGTGCATTGTTGTGGCCCTCTAAAACGTTTCTTCCGTCCGAAATGAGAACCTCTTAGACTAAAAAGAAGAAAGTGAAAACAAGCTTCATCTTACGAACTGTTTCACTGAACACATCTCTAAATGATACTCATTCAATCTCCATATCTTGTAAATCCTCTCTCTCTATCTCTCTATCCTAATACAGTATTCATATCCTCTCACTTCCTAATATCCAATATTCAGTACTCTTCTACTTTCAATTTGTTCTTTTAGTTTTCAGTTCAACATCCATATACTCCCAGATCCTTTGTGGAAGTTCCATATAGAACCCACAAGTTATCAAAATTCTTCCTAATTCTTTGTCAAACTCAATTTATAATAATCAGTCAAATCAGTAACAAAGAACTCTCCATTACATTCGAAATGAAAAACATGTAGCCTGCAGATCATTGAAACAGGCAGGCCCATAGAATCTGACCATATAAGAATATCATGCCTCCTATCGGAGGAAACTCTATGGCGAACGTCTCCTTCAAACGAACAACTG